GTAATAGTAAGCAGTAGATACCACTGTACATCCTTTGGGTTGGCTATTTTTTTTAAATTGGTACTGCTAAATTACCTGTGATGCAGAGTAATGGGGTTTCTCACACATTGCTGATGAGAGTGCAAAATGTTATTGACACTTTGAAAAACAGTTTGGTAGTTTCTTAAAAAGTAAAACATACACTATCATGCCACATAGGAAAATGAACAGAATCAGTAACAGGAGAGTTCAATGTGGCTATTAAATGCAAGATAACTTACGAAAATCAATAATGTTTCTCTACTCCAGCAATAAAACAAATAGTTAGGAAACATAATAAAATATCATTTACTTTAATAAAAACTACACAGTATCTAAGAATACAAAAAAATCTGCACAAAAAATGCTTAAGTCTTATAAACATGGATCTTATAAATAAACAGATATTTTATAAGCTTGGATGAGAAAACTTACCAAAGGTATCAGTTCTCTCCCAAATCAATCTATAAACTAAATGTCATCTCAAACTCCAGCTAAAATAACTGATTAACTTACTCTAAAATTTGTATGGAAGAATAAAAGTACACGGATAGTTAGGTTATTTTTTTTACTTTTATTTTTTTTAAGATTTTATTTATATATTTATTCACAAGAGATGTAGAGAGAGGCAGAGACATAAGCAGAGGTAGAAGCAGGCTCCATGCAGGAAGCCTGATGTGGGACTCAGGACTCTGGGATCACACCCTGAGCCAAGGGCAGACACTCAACTGCTGAGTCACCCAGGCATCCCAAGGTTATTTTTTTAAAAGATGAACAAAAAAGTGACTTGTTCTACTAGATAATAACATGCACTAAAAAGTAAAATCATTTAAAGACATTGGAGTATGGGGCACATGAACAGATAAATAGACCAATGGCACAGAATAAGGCCCAAACAAGCAGGCATATGCAAGCATATACACACACACACACACACACACACACCCTCTGATCCTTCATTTTTGCTCCTGGCTTTATATACTAAAGACAGTCTATCACAGGACTGTTAGAATAACATAAGTGCTAAGTGAGGATACAGATAAAACAAGATGGCTGGGTGTTGGTCACTGCTGAAGGTGGTGAAGTTGAAACTTGGGTTCATTACAGTATTCTCTCCACTTCTGTATCTGTTTAAAAATTTCTGTAATAAAGCCAAATACCAGAACAAAGACAAAAATCAAAGCATATGCTGCTTCAGTAACCTCAAGATACTGAGGGGCTTGTACCCTCAGGTCAGGGCTAGATTTTTAGGCCTACTCAGAGATAGAAGACATGGCCTCAAGCTGCTTAATTAAGGAGTAACACCTGGGACTGTGCCCAGATGCTCAAAGACCTGTGTATTTTACAGAGAAGGCTAAAAATACTCCACTCCGCCCGCTGAAGCAGTGAAGACATTCAGCTCTCATCAGGGCCTTGAAATAGAAAAGAATAAACTGCTCCACCAAATAGTTAAAATCCATGGCCTATATCATACCTAAATTTGTGGTCTAGATTGAATGGTATAGAATGGTATGGAAACTCTAAGGTAAGAAAATAATATAAAAGTCTGGGACAACAAAAATCCCTGGGAACTCATCAGTAGTAAAAATAAAGTCCCTCTGTAGGAATCCTTTCATGAGATGGCACATAGGTGCTCCAACAGCAAACAAAATCCATTGGAAATGAGTTCACAATCAAAAATCACAAACCAGGATCCCTGGGTGGCTTGGTGGTTTGGTGCCTGCCTTTGGCCCAGGGCATGATCCTGGGGACATGGGGCTGAGTCCCGCATCAGGTTCCATTCATGGAGCCTGCTTCTCCCTCTGTCTCTGTCTCTGCCTCCCTCTCTCTGTGTTTCTCATGAATAAATAAATAAAATCTTTAAAAAAAAAAATCACAAACCATAGCAGGCAGCAGCCTGCCCTGAGGGAGAATTTGACCACTGGAGAACAAGAAGTAACAGAACAATGTGTAAATGTGTTAAATGGTTACATACTTTCTTAAGGGACAAGAACAATACTGGAAAAGAAAGTATATACTAGGGTGCCTCCATCTCCAGAAGATTCATAAATGGATCCCTACTGCCCTCTGCATAAACGCCAAAGTCTGTACAATCGCCTTAAGGCCCTGTGACCTCTCTCTTTTTTTTTTTTTAATTTTTACTTATTTATGATAGTCACACAGAGAGAGAGAGAGAGAGGCAGAGACACAGGCAGAGGGAGAAGCAGGCTCCATGCACCGGGAGCCCGACGTGGGATTCGATCCCGGGTCTCCAGGATCGCACCCTGGGCCAAAGGCAGGCGCTAAACCGCTGCGCCACCCAGGGATCCCCCCCTGTGACCTCTCTTACCTCTTACCCTGACTTCATCTCCTACTAACCACCTCCCCGCTCCCTCCACTCTGCTACACCTACACAGGTGCCTCAGGCAGACCTGCACCTGAAGGCCTGCCTCTATGCTGGCAGCTCCATATGCCTGAAATATACCTCCTCCAGCCTGCCACATGGCTCACTCCTTGACTCCTCCAGGGCTCTGTTCAAATGTCACCTGCTCACTGAAGCCATTCCTGACCATGCTGTTTAAAACTGTAACCCCACTCACACCCTGGTATTTCGTGTCCTGTCTGGCTGGTTAGTTGGTTTATTTATTTCTACACAGCATATATCATCATCTGACATACTACATATCTTGTTTACTGCCTTCCACTACCAATTAAAATGTAAATTCAAGGAGAATATTCTGTTTTGATCAGTTTAGGATCCTTAGAGTCCAGAACAGTATCTACCATAAACCTGGTGCTCAGTAAACACTTGTGAAATGCAGAAATGGGGAAATTAGAGAGAGATGATCATTCTCGTACAATACTTGGGAGAATTCTCTCATTCATATCTGCATGGACACACTGCACACTCAAACATTTACTAAGTAGTTACTTTATACAGTGGAGCATCAAGGTATTCCTTTCCTCACTGGAAATTCTTCATTTCCAAAAAAAAAAAAACAAAAAAGATGAAAACTGACTTTACAAAAATAATAATTTACTACAAAATATTCTTTAAGTTATTAAAAGTACACAGAGAGTATAATTAAAATCACCTTTCACGGTTCAGCTTCCTGTTCCTTATTTTTATCCTTCCTTAGAACGAACTCATATGTTTGTCCACAGCAACACCACCAATTTCTATATGACTATGTGTCTAAGTAAAACTTCTTGTCTCCTACTTACCCGGTTTATGGGTCTTGAGAATATTCTTATTGCTAATACCTATACTTATATGTGGTTTTTTTATATAGAAATGCTAGAAATAGGTATTAAAATCTATGACTCCATCTCTGCCCCAGAATCAGCTAAGATATATTATAGTATTATAATATCCACCTCTGCTAAATTTCAATTGTTTTCTTACGAACAGGTACATGCACATGCATTCTGGTAAAAATACAGCCTGTGCCTCATGCAAGACCTCAGAGACACAAATCACTAAACAATATTACTGTATCCCTCCAGCAAAAATTGCTGCTTATAATTCTCTTTGGTTACCCAAGAATTTTCAGGTGACAGAGTACTTTTTTTCCTTAAGGTTACCACTGGGGTCAAGCAAGACGTTACCTCACCTTGCTTAGTTATAAATTTGGAACTGAACTGTATCGAGCCCACTCATAATCAGAACCTAAAATTATTAGATTTGTATCTTTAGGAGTTTCACAATTACTGTACCTATCTATGGTGTTTGAAATACTTGGATCACGTAGTTTAGGAAAAGAGAAGCACACATACACAATACTGGTTTTAAATTCTATAGCATAAACATGCTCTAAAAAATATTCACATGGTATCCAAGCTGTTCAAGCTGTTTGTACAACTGCAACACGTCTCTCTCATTTATTTGATTACAAAACTATTTCACCATTTGGGCCACATTTAGTAACTTTCAGAACAGGCGTACAGCTTCTACTATCAAGTCCTGCCTCACGCTGCCATCTAGTGGTTCAAAGAGTGACTGCAGGCAAAGCCCATTAAACTTCCAATGTACTCTTTCAGAAAAATAGCTTTAACACAGAAGCTTAAATAGTCCATATCAAAGTTCTATAACTGTTAGTAATATATATAAAACATAAATTATTTTATTTTACAAATGTTTCAAAGAAGTCATCCTACCAACTCCTTATCTAGGTCTTGTCATTTTACTCTTATTTTAATAATGTCAAGATTACTTTCATTTTGTTCCTCCTTAGGTACTTTATTTTCTAGAACTATATATATATATTTTTAAAGATTTTATTTATTTCTTCATGGGAGACAGAGAGAGAGAGAGAGAGAGAGAGAGAGAGAAAGAGAGAAAGAGAGAGAGAGCAGAGACATAGGCAGAGGGAGAAGCAGGCTCCCCGCAGGGAGCCTGATATGGGACTCAATCCCAGATCCTGGGATCAGGCCCTGAGCCAAAGGCAGACACGCTCAACTGCCGAGCCACCCAGGCATCCCTGGAACTATATTCTTTAAAAATTTTTAAAGACTCCTTCCTCATAAGAAACCAAAATCAATCATTTAGATTATATAGAAAAATAACAGTTCATTTTACAATAGTTTATTGTACACATAAGTACATTTTATATTTGTACAGTTTATTTCAATGGTGTAAGAACTCTATATTGCACTGAATCATTGTCCTTGTTATTTTATTTTTATTGAGGTAGAATTGATATAAAAGTTACATTAGTTTCAGTGCACAACATAATTCAATATTCATGTGTATTACAAAATGATCACTTACCACAATGTGGTAATAAGTCTATTAAGATCTGTCACATATATAGCTACAAAATTTTCTCTTTTAAAGATTTATTTATTTTTAGAAAGAGACAGCAGAAAGAGGGACAGAAGGAGAGGGAGAAAATCTTAAGTACACTCCCCACTAAGTGTGGAGCCTGACATAGGGCTCAATCTCACAACCCTGAGATCATGACCTGAGCTGAAACCAAGAGTCAGATGCTCAACTGATAGAGTAATTTTTTTAATGCTTTATGAATTTATGTGTTATTCTTGCATAGCAGTCACGCCAATCTTTTCTGTATCATTCTGATTTTTATATATGTGCTGCCAAAGTGAGTACTGCAATATAATATTAACTTGTCATTACAGTAAATACATTACATCAACAAGAGTTGTTTGTATCTTATAACTGAAAGTTCGTACCTTTTGACCCCCTTCACCTATCTCTCCCACCCCCCTCAATCCCTGGTTCTGGCAACCATCAATCTATTCTCTCTATAAGTTCAATTTTGTTCAGTTTGGTTTAAAATTTCACATTACTAGGGTGCCTGGGTGGGTCAGTCAGTTAAGCGTCTGCCCTTGGCTCAGGTCAAGAAATCAGGGTCCTGGAATCAAGTTCTGCCAGGCTCCCTGCTCAGCAGAGAGTCTGCTTCTCCCTCTCCCTCTGCACCATCCTCCCACCCCCAGTACTCTGTCTCTCTCTCAAAAAAATAAATAAAATCCTAAAAAATAATAAAATTTTACATTATTGAGGTCATCAGTATCTGTCTTTTTCTGACTTATCTCACTTAGCATAACGCCCTCAAATGTCCATCCATGTTGTCACAAATAGTAAGATTACTCTTTTTAAATGAATATTCCATTGTGTGTGTGTGTGTGTGTGTGTATAATGAACCCCACAGTATAGAAAACACAAAATCAGAGATGCTCAGGGGTTGAAGAGCTTCCACAGGGGCTCCATTCCTGCTACCTGCTCAGTGTGTGGATTTCCTAGACAACATCTCTACCCAGCACTTTCCCAGCCGCTGCTTGAGTATCTTCTGTCTGAAACTCAGCATCTCCCAAGGGAATCACTTTGCCTTGAGACCGTGAGTGTTAGTGTTATTCCTTACCAAGTCCAGTAACTTCCTATAGCATCCTCCCATAACACCTTAATTCATCCTTGGCCATGCTGCATCCCCAATTTTTAATTCCAAATTCATAAAACAGCCCATTCAATAAGTGAAGACTGTTCTCCTGCCCTATCTTCACCTCTCCGGGATAGACACTGCCCACTCTCTCAGCCATTTCTCACATGGCAAGTGTGCAACCTCACCCCTTCCTGACGCCAACCAGGAGCACCAGAGCCATACCTGTTGCCCTGTAATACTATGAGCATATTATTGTTAACTGTAGCCACATCATGATGGCATTTCATGGGCTTCCTGTGGCTTTTCTAAACATTTCTGCCAAAGCAACAATTATGCCATTCATTGCCAAAGTTGATTTTTGTAGACTAAAGAGAAAAACCTGTTCTTTCTTCAGTGGTTTTTTTAAAAGATTTATTTATTAGAGCGCGCATACGCACACATGAGAGATAGCAAGCACTAGTGAGCAGGGGGCATGGCAGAGGGAGAGGGAGAAGCAGACTACCCGCTGAGTAGGAAGCTGCCAATGCAGGGCTCTAACCCAGGACCCCGGGATCACGACCTGAGCCAAAGGCAACCGACTGAGCCCCACAGGCGCCCTCTTCAGCGTTTTTTATATGTTGATTGTGAGCCCATGGCTCCCGCTTGCTAAACCAGCTACGGTGTCATAGCTATTGCTCTTTGAAGACAATACTAGCAGTCCCCCCAGAACTGTCTCTCCTTTTATCTCCAGGGATTTGGTTGCCTTGCTAAGGATTGTTTCCCAGCCTCCGCTATGATTATATGAGACCACAGAATCAAATTCTTGACAAAAGTGTGTGAGCAGAAGTGACATTTATGACTTCCAAAGCATCTGATGAAAAATCAATCCCTCATCCTGGACTTGCCTCGGAATTCCTTCAAGCAGGCTGGAAACAAGGAGATCCACTGTGGATGATGATTGAGTCCTAACAACTCAATTCCTTAATGACTTCCTAGAACAGAGCTCAACTTCCTACCAGGGATGTTACAAAGAGAAACAGACATCTGTATTCTCAAGTCACTGCATTAGGGGCTTGTTACAAGAGTTTAGCCTAAGGGTACTTGGGTGGCTTGGTCAGTTGAGATTCTGACTCTTGGTTTCAGTTCAGGTCATAATCTCGGGGTTGTAGGATTGAGCCCCTTAGAGGGCCCCATATTCTATGGGGCATGTGCTTGAGATTCTCTCCCTTTCCCTCTGCCTCTCTCCCTACTCATGCGAGCACACTCGCTCTCTCTCTCTCAAATAAATAATCCATCTATTTATCTATCTATCTTTAAAAGAAAAAAAAAACTAAGGCAGGATGGCTCAGTCAGTTAAGCATCTGCCTTCAGCTCAGGTTATGATCCAGGGACCCTAGGATCGAGCCCTGCATCAGGCTCCCTACTCAGTGGGGAGCCTGCTTCTCCCTCTCCCTCTACTGCTCCCTCGTTTGTGCTCTAATAATAAAATCTTAAAAAAAAAAAAAAAAAGAAAACACGTAAAACAAAACTAAGAACTTAGGTTCTACCACTACTAAAATACCTTCCCAGCTTTTATAATTTGAAAATTTGATGAGCAGACATGCTATATTTTTAAAGCAATATCAGTCAGAATGAGCAGGGAACAAAAACACTCTAAGAAGGTAAATGTAATTCTTCATTTTCATATTATTGTACTAATAGAGGCAAATGATTCTCAGGGCATAAGAAAAAAGCACTTGCAAGTGGAAGGCTCTGAAGTAAGCCAATTCTAGAACAGAGCTTGTTTCTGCCTACCCTATTTTACACCCTTCTGTATAAAAGAAAGATGTTGAGCACTAGAGGTACTCTTCAGATTAAATTACTGGGAAAGGCCCTCTAAAAACATCTGGATTTTACTTAGGAAAATCTACCCTAATATTTAAAAATGTAAAGCTTTTCAATTTCTCCTTATCATGAGACTATGATAAATGAGTGCTGGACCTAAAACTAAGCCAGAAGAATTTCTGTACATCACAAGGCACACTCAGAGTAAAAAGGCAACCTATGCAAATAAGAGGGAATATTTTGCAAATCATACATCTGATAAAGGATTATTTAGAAAATATAAAGAATTCCTACAACTCAGCAAAAAACAACCTGATTAAAAAATGGACAAAGGATGTCATGAATAGACATTTTTCCAGAGAAGACATATAAATGACCAATGAGCACATGAAAAGATGTTCAATGTCACTAAACATCAGGGAGACAAAAATCAAAAATACAATGAGATTCCACCTCACACCCACTAGAATTGCTATTATCAAAAAGCAAAACCAGTAACAAGTATGGCAAGGACATAGAGAAATTTGCACCCTTGTGTAATGATGTAACCATTACAGAAAACAGTGCGGTGGTTCCTCAAAAATGAAAAACAGAATTACAACACAATCCAGCAATTCTACTTCTGGGTATACACCCAAAAGAATTTAAAGTAGGGTCCCGAAGAGACAGTTATATACTCATGTTCACAGCAGCATTAGTCCTAAGAGCCAAAAAGGTGGAAGCAAGCCAAGTGTCCATCAACAGAAGAATGCATAAACAATATGTGGCTTATTCATACAATTCAGACATGTGCTACAGTATGGATGAACCTTGAGGACATTATGCTCAGTGAAATAAGCCAGTAACAAAGGACAAATACTGCATGAATCCACTTAAGTGAGGTATCTAGAAGACAGAAAGGTGACTGCCAAGGGCTGAAGAGAGGGATGGGAGTTGTTGTTTTTAGAGTACGGAGTTTCAGTTTGGAAGGAGGAAAGAAGTTCTAGAGATTGGCTGCTCAACAATGTGAATGTACTTAACACTACTGAACTATACACTTAAAAGTGGTCAAGATGGGGGCACCTGGCTGGCTCAGTCAGTTAAATGTTCTGACCTTCGGCTCAGGTCACGATCCTGGGGTCCTGGGTTCAAGCCCCGAGTTGGCCTCCCTGCTCAGTGGGGAGCCAGCTTCTCCCTCTCCTCCCTGCTCATGCGCTTTCTCTTGCTATCTCCCTCTCTAATAAAAAAAACAAAATCTTTTTTAAAAAATGGTTAAGACAGTAAATTTCATGTTATTTTCCCACAATTAAAACATTTTAAAAGCAGTATCAAATTTGTTCCAAGGCCACCTTTACGTTTAACTCTTAGTAGAATACCAGGCACAAATAACATTTAAAATAGAATTTTCTCAAGGCCCTAGCCCAGGGATACAAAGTCCTACAGAAGAAAATGGTTTCCTAAAAAAGATAACATGCAATGAAGGCAGACATGGTCTATAGCTGAAATGTTTTATTAGAAGAATGAGGACATATCTATCACTGAATACTACACAATACAGAAATACTTAAAAAGTTAACATTAAAATATCTTTATTATCTCCCACCAATTAAGAGCTTTTTAAATTTATTTCAAAAATAAATAAATTAAAATAAAAATAGAAATTTTATTCGTCTCAACAAGACTTCAAATCAGGTAAAGATGAAGAGCTCCCAAACCACCTACTTATCTGTAGGTGGCAGTAAAAGCACAGTGTTTTATGTCAATGCAGCCTTGAAATATCAATTTTCAGTGGCTGCATTAACTGTGCAGGTTCTCCTACTGTTACTAAATTCTATGAACTTCTGTAATACAATGTTTCTCCTGCCCAAATCCTTTCACCCCCAGCTGGTACTCCAACAACCCCAATCTTTTTTTTTTTTTTTTTTTTTTTTTTTTTTTTGGTCTCATTCCTTGGCTTGATAGGTCTTTGTAATCATATCTACCTAGAAACATGAGGTATTCAATTCTGAGGACATGGCAGTCTTCTTTCTTACAGAAAAACACACAAACACCAGTCAAATCAATAGCCTATTTACTAAGGGCCTAAATGTGAAGCATTCTGTTAGGTACTCGGAAGTCCCTGAAGATGGATGTGCCAGGTCGTTACCAAGACAGACACACAATGTACAGAATAACACAAAAGAAAAGTGTGCTGTCAAGGGAGGAACAGCAATACAACCATCAAGGACAGATATCCCAGGCACCTCTAACTCCCAGTTCTAAGAACTTCTGATTACTGTTAGGAGAATAAAGCCTATACTAGAAGCAGGATGAAGCAGCCCAAGGGTCTGCATCCCTTGGTCCAAACACACACCCCTGCAAGCTCCCTGCGACTCTCTGAAGGTGGTATCACCTACCTGCTTCCTTCCCCTGTCTGTTGAGATTCTTT